AGGGGGGGGGGGGATTGAACCTGCAACCCGGTACATGCCCTTACCACCACTGAGCGATGCTGGCCAGGGCCAGAAACCTTTTCTTAAAATTAATTTTTATTGAGGTAACATTGTTTATTACATTATAAAAATCTCAGGCGTACATTACAATTCAATACCTGTATACTGTATTGTGTGCTCCCCTTCAAAAGTCTAGTTTCCATCCCTTACCGTATGTATATTTGATCCCCTTTCATTCTCATTTTTGAGTACTTGCTATGCAGCTGGCATTGCTGTAGGCACTGGGGATAAAGTAGAGAAGAAAACAGATAAAATCTCTGTTCACGGTGGTGGAGGGCACCTGAAGCCATTTTAGACAAGCTCCAAGTGAACCGGTGTGGCAGGGCGGTAGGGAGCAAGGGCTCTGCGGCAAAAGTAAGGAGTTTGGACTTTGTCCCCAGGGTAGTGGGGAGCCACGAGCCAGCCTCCAGCAGCGGAGGAGCCATCCTGAGAGAGGCAGGATGGGGCGTCAGGAGGTTTCGGGACGGACGGGCCCCCGGAGGACTTGCAGAGGAGTCGGGGAGATCAGGGGCGGGAGAGGTAAAGCGTTGGGAGGGGCAGGAGTGCAGATGAAGCGAAGGGGTGGGCTTCGATCTCCCAGGCAACGTACGCCGCGGCAAACTATTGGCTGGCCTTCAGCGGCGTCAGCCTCCTCCCCGCTGCGTCCGCCCTCGGAACTCCCGGGGCGCAGCCTCCGCTAGTGGCTCAGCCCCGCCCTCCCGGGAAGCGGGGTGAGGGGGCGTGGGGTAGCCAGTCTCTCTCCGCCACGGGCTTCAGGCTTGGTATAAAGGGTTTCAGAGGTCAATGCTGACGATGTTGGAGCGAGGACATCGTCAAATCAGTAGCTGATTTGAAGGAAACAGTTTTGATGTCCTCGCCACCCTCCACCCCAGAGACGTGGCCCCGCCCCCTAGAGAGTCGGAATCCTTTAAAAGGTTACGGGCGCTCGCGAAGGGAGGGCGGGTCGGCCGTCTCCTGGCGACAGGAAGGTGGCTCCACCCAGCCAATCCGCGCCCCGCGGCGGGCAGGATTCCAGCCAATCGCGGCTCATGGGTCGGCTCCGGGCTGGAGCTGGGTGAGCCGGAGGCCAGACCGAGAGGCCCCAGGAGGAGAGCAAGGCCTCTACCTATCTCTGGAGGGTCGCAAAGCTGCGGACGTTCCAGGAGTGAACCTGGCAGCGGAGGTGAGGGATGGCTGCCCGGCTTGAGACCTGCATTGGGTTGGGGAGGTGGAGGCGCGCCCCGGGAGTTGTGGAGGCGGAGTTTGGGTGGGAGAGGGGAGTGCAGATTCAGGGTGACTGATAGGGTTTGGGGATCGGAGACTGAATTCGAGATCCTGGACAGGAGGCGAGGTTGCTGGGGTAGGATCTTCAAGTGGAGGGAGTTTGAAGCTAGGACCTGGGGTATTTGGAGAAGCGAGAGAACCAAGGAAGGAACTTTAGGGGCAGGAAATCTGGAGACTGGGACAATTCGGGGCTCTGGTGTTCTGGAAAAGTTGTAAGGGGTTGGGGCTGGGAACCCGGGCGTTTGGAGAAGCGAGAGAACTAGGGGCAAGCAGTCTTGGTTTCCCAGACGCAGTGGCGGAGGGAGGGTGCTGGGGAGAGTTCCATGTTCAGGTCTTGGAGCCGGACGGGGGCAGTTTGGAGGTGAAGTCGAGAGGCGTTTGAAAGGAGAATAGAAGAAAGTTGACGGGGAAAGGTCTCAAAATTGAGATACCTAATGTCCGGAACGGAATGGACCGGAGAGCATTTGTAGTCTTTGAGCGAGGTGTTGGGGCTTGGGTTTCTGGACCCGCGAGCAGTTTGGAGGAAGACTCCAGGACCTCCTAGGGTGCGAAAGATCGGGGGAAAGCTGTTAGTGCAGCCATCTAGGGTGGGGGGAGGGGTGTTCCGGGCGCGGAGCTCCGACCGGCCGCCCTGGAAGCAGCGGAGGGCGGGGCTCTGTAGGAGCCAGGCAACTGGACCTCCGGGTTCCCTTCCCCCACCCGCCCCGGGCGTTTGTGCGCATGCCCTGGGGGAGGGTGGGGGAGGTTCTTCCTTGTGGCCTGCGGAGCTCTCTGGGGATTGCAGTGCACGCTCGAGGTCTACGTGTGTACCTGGTGGCTATTGGCCCACATTTCCCATGAGCCCTAGGGCCAAGTTGGGGCGTGGCTGGCTGGCTGAGGGAGCTTTGTGAAGGGGGCGGGGCCTGTAGAGGGCCGAGGTCTGGTTGGGTAGGTCGGGAGGGGGCGGGATTTGGCGTGAGTCGAGTTCTAGCAAGTCTTTCTATGGGGCCTCGCTTTAGGGAATCGTAAGGCACGAGCGGAGGGAATGAGGGGAGGCCCTTTTCACTGCTAGAAAAGAGCATGGACAGAAATACACTCTGACAGAAGAGTCTGGACAAACAGGTGCCCAAACAGGGCTCCCGGTGAATATAGTAGGCACTCATTAAGTAAAATTATTGAATGAATAAGTGGCAGTTAACTTTGTTCAGTAAGCATTTCCTGTGCGGTGAGCCCTGTGCATATTACATGTGGGGTCTCCTTGCCGATGTGGTGAGAATTTTTACACTCCCCATTTTACAGTTGAGGAAACTGAGGCCCAGAGAGGTAATGTCACACCACTTCCCAAGATCACACAGTGAGCAGTGTGGAAGGCAGAATTAAAACCGAAGATTCCTTGCTCCTAGTCTAGGTCTCTGTATTCAACACCTGTCTTGTATGTGTCAAATTTGAAGAAACAAGTACTACGGAAGCCCTGGCCCCATGGCTCAGTTTGTTAGAGCGTCATCCCCATACACCAAGGTTGAAGGTTTGATCTCTGGTCAGGGCACACACAAAAAGCAACCAATGAATGCTTAAATAAGTAGAACAACAAATCAGTGTTTCTCCTTCTCCCTTCCTCCCTCTCTAAAGTCAATAAATAAATAAAACTTTTAAAAATGAGTACTGTGGAAAGAATAGTTTTAAGGCTCAGAGGGACTTGAGTTAGGATACTCATCTTACAGGAAATTGAGTTTCCAGGAGGAAAACTCACTATTCCAGGCGGCCCAGGCAAGTACGTGGGATTCAAACCCACCTGTGTCCAGGTCTGATTTTCTTAGTCACGTACAAAATGGGATTCACACTGTCTCCATTTTATAGATGCAAAAACTGAAGTTCAGATCATTAAAAATCAACAGCCATACAGGAGATTCAGGATTTGAACTAGTCCTAGTGTGTCTGACTCGCCCCTCTTCTCCCCACAGGGCATCATGGTAGGTGGCTTGAAGAGGAAACACTCCGACCTGGAGGAGGAAGAAGAGGATGAGAAGTGGGACTGGAGTGCAGCAGGCCTGCGAAGCTACCAGCAAGCCCTGCTGCGCATCTCCCTAGACAAAGTGCAGCGAAGCCTGGGCCCCCGAGCACCCAGCCTCCGCAGGCATGTCCTCATCCACAACACCCTGCAGCAACTTCAGGCCTCGCTTTGCCTGGCTCCAGCACCTGCCTTGCCCCCTGAGCCCCTCTTCCTGGGCGAGGAGGACTTCTCCTTGTCAACCACCATCGGCTCTATTCTCAGGGAGCTGGAGACTTCCATGGACGAGACCGACACCCCTCAGAATCCAGTGGCTACCCCAGGCCCCCAGAATGAAGTGCTTCCCCAGCCTGATCCAGTCTTCTTAGAAGCTCTGAGCTCTCGGTACCTGGGGGACTCAGGTCTGGATGACTTTTTCCTGGACATTGACACATCCACAGTGGAAAAGGAACCTGCACTGGCCCCACCAGAGCCTCCTCACAACCTCTTCTGTGCCCCAGGGTCCTGGGAGTGGAATGAACTAGATCACATCATGGAAATCATTTTGGGATCCTAAAACTTGAATGGTTAAAGGGTGCTCCTTCCACATTCTCAGCCTCAGTGGGCTGGATCCCCTGGATGCAGCTGTGTGTGTGTGTGTTGGTGGAGGCTTTAAGCAGTGGCTGGCCTCTTTTCCTCCCATTTCAGGGTTCCACAAACTGTCTTATATGTATGTGTGTGTGTGTGTCTGATTACCAAAGCCTTCTGTGAAGGTGGGTCTTCCCGAATTAATTTATCTGTTCCAAATGCCTTAATGAAACTGTTTCTGGGAGTCTGCTTTCCCACCTCCACATTTCTTCTGCCTTCCCCTCCAGTTTACTCCTCTTGTGACCATTGGGGCCTCAGGGAAGATAAGCTGGGCCTGTCAAAGAAGGACAGGGATGTGTTGCCTGGTAGCTATGGAAACCCAGGCTCTGCCTCTTGTACGGGGAAGGAGTAGGAGGGACTGGCCTCCTCCCCCAAGGCTGAACCCCACCTCCTTGGCAGGACCCCAGACCCAGCAGCCTCCTGATTCATAATCAGGCCGGACCACGTGCAATAGGTGGAAACCAAACTGCTCCATGCCGCATTATTTAAAAGAAAAGCGGGTTTTGTGGTGGTTTGAGGGTGGGGTGGGGGTAGGTTTTGATTGTAATTATTATTATTTTTTAAATAAAAGTATTTTGGAAGGGATGGTGTTGCCTAAAGTTTGTAAACTTCAGTGGGTCAATGGGAGGGACCTGGTAAGTTCCCTAGACACCTGTATCCCTTCCCTGTCAAAGTTGGGGCAGGTATACTGTTAAATGTAACATTCATTTATTTATTTATTTATTTATTTATTTATTTATTTATTTTAAATATATTTTTTATTGATTTCAGAGAGAGGAGGGAGAGGGAGAGATAGAAATATCAATGATGAGAGAGATTCATTGATCGGCTGCCTCCTGCGCACCCCCTGCTGGGGATCCAGCCCAAAACCCAGAAACCCAGGCATGTGCCTTGACTGGGAATCGAACCTCCATCCCCTGGATCATAGGTTGATGCTCAACAGCTGAGCCATGCCAGCCAGATAAATGTAACATTTATTGAGTGCTTGTTAGAGCACTGTTCTACCCATTTTATTTGAATTAAATCATTTAATCTTCACAATTACATAGAAGTAGATACTATAATCATGTATACAGGAGGAACCTGAAGTTCAGAGGGGCCAAGTCTCCTGTTCAGGGTCACACAGCTAGTGAGAGCAAGTAGGGAGCTAGGACTCAATCTGCCTCCAGGCCTGCTTCTTAACTGGCACCTTGGTAGATTTAGACTCCCCAGCCACATGGGTAGACACAGGAGGAAGAAACTGAGTCACATGAATTATGTGTCAAAAGATAGGGCTTTCTGGCACTTAAAAGTGAACACTTTCATTGTATGAAATGGGCTGCTGAGGCCCAGAGGAGAAAAAAATACCGCTGGCTAAGAAGCACAGCCCAGGCTAAAGTCACGGTTCTAAGGATTTATTTGGGAGGTGCAAACCCAGGTTGGTGAGAGTGAGGGGAAAGGAGACCAGGGAAGATACAATGTGAAAACATTGCTACTGCACTGGCTATGCCTCTCCAAAGCCTTGATATGCACCAAGTGAGTTTACACAGCTTTAGGGACTTTTCTGGAAGGGTTGCAAGGAGGAACCACACTGGTATAGCCCAGAGGTTGGGAAAGGAGGGGGATTTTGCCTGTGCTTTCTGGCTCAAAGCCAGATTCTCACCCTGAGAGGGGCATTGCATCTAAGTCTGAAAGCAATGGGGTAACTAACAGGTGCCAATCAAGAAAAGAGGTGGTCAAGAGGATCTCAAGAAGGCACTTAATGTCCACATCTTGACATGCATCTTAGTTTAAACTTAGAGTGACTTCTCACAAAGAATAAAACCCCAGTTTCACCAAAGCCTGTGAGACCCAACAATCTCGCTCCTAACTTGCCCATTTTAATCTTCCACTTTTCCCTGCCTTCCTCACCTCCCCCACTTTGGTCTCCTTTCACCTCAAACTCATTTTGACCCTGGGGCCTTTGCCTTTGCTGTTAATTCCCCAGAGGACGCTTCTCAGAGAGGCCTCCCCTGAGTTAATGTCCAGGTGCACCAGCACCCCATCGCATTCTGTTTGATTTTCTTAGTAGCACATACCCAAGCTCAAGTTATTTATTACCTCTTTACAGTTAGCCTCCTGGCCCATTGGAAACTCAGAGGAAGGGGTTTTGTCCGTCTTAGTCCAGCTGTATCCCCTGGTGCATAGAACTAATCTTGGCACAAGTGGGCACTCAAAAAATTGTTTTTGCTATTGTTGAAAAAAATGAACTCCTGACTTTGCTATGGCCAACCCTCCCTCCTACCTCACTAAACCCATCACCTTACTCCTATGCTCCAGCCACACCATTCTCCGCCCTTCAAACATACCAGTATGTCCCAGCCTTGAGACAAGGATTAATACCTGCCTCATTGAGTGATCCTGCAAAGTGTGTAAAGGGGGCCTGATGCACACCAAGGATTCCAATTTCAAAACTGCTCAAATTTATTGAGTGCCTACTGTGGGCCTGGCACAGGAAATTCCTGCTTTCATCACAGGGGCGGGGGGAGGGGAGGGACACACACGACTGAAATAAACACAAAAAAAGTAACATGTACAATCTGTCAGGTGGCGATAAATACTGTAGAGAGAAAGGAAGCGAAGCATGAATGTGATGGGGGTGTTGCTATATAGTTGGGATGGCTAGAGAAGGCAGCAGTAAAAAGGTGCCATTTGAGTAAAAGACCTGAAGGAGGTGAGAAGTGAGCCAAATGAATCTGTGAACTGATCCTGGCAGCGGGAACAGCCAATGCAAAGGCCCTGAGGTCAGAGCATCATGGAGAGTTTTAGGACCCTGAGGCAGTCAGTATGGCTGGAGCAGAGTGAGCAGGGGGGGGGGCGGGTACTAGGAGTTGAAGGGGACAAACTGTGTATGTTCTGTGGGAGTCCCACAGGAAGCACCCGAGCAAACCCTGAGTGAGATGGAAGCCATGGGCCGGTGTTGAGCAGAGGGGGAACCAGATCTAACTCACTTAAACAGGCTCTCTTTAACTGTCATACAGATAATCACAGTCAGGCCAGTCTGAGAAACAGCCCCACGTTACAGATGAACAAACTGAGGCTCAGAGAGGCCCAGCCCTTGCCCGGTTAAAGAACTGGAGAGAGAAGTGGAAAAGCTGGCCCAGCGAAGGGAAGCGGGCCCTGAGCGCAGAGTCCACGTTCCCCAGCCTCCCCTCCCCCGCCGCCTCTCGGTGGGAGACCGGCCGCGGCCACCTCCGGGCGTGGCCTGGGAGGCCAGGTCCCTACCCACGGCCCACCCTCCTCCCTGGGCTGGCCACCGGCGGGATCGCCAGGGGCGGCGGCAGCCTGGAGCCGGCC